GGCACCATCAATCATCCTTAAGTCGCCCCGGAGCGCCACGGCAAATAATATTAATAGCCGTCCCTTCCCCTACACAAGTCGTTCAGTCGACTTCAGGGGTTGAAATTCACTCGTAAGTGGGTGAATTAGGGAGAGTATTATTATATTATCAGTGTAATTGACGAAATCCATAACAGAAGCTGGCTGTTGCAAATGGAAAAAAGTATTTATTTGCATTTCTCCAAAAATGAGGTTTTCCATGTTTTTCTGACTGTGAAATAACAATAATTAGGTAATTTTGAATACACATTTATTTTGAATTTTTCATAAATTTCTTCTTTTTCCCGGAAAAATCTATCTGTATCGGATAAATTTCGATGCCAGTTTGTCAAATATGTTGAGTAGTACATGCCAATTTTTAGTTTTCCGGAAAATTCGTCGTAAAAAACGAAAAATTCGAGAATCAAATTTTTTTTCATAAAGGTATATAAATCAACTGTCGAAAAAAAAAGTTGGTCCCTCGTCCCTACCGAAAATTTGTGGAAAATTAATTCTCGAAGGAAAATTAAAATTTTCTAAACCATCTAAAATATTTTTTTTTATCTTTCGTAACAAATAGAACAGAGGTACCCAAACTTTTTTGTCTCGTAAACAGTGTGCCTTGTTTTGAGTCACTTGCTCCCCTACTAGGGGTGAGATTACCAGAACGTCTGCAACTTTGCAGATCTGCAAATATGGCGGCAACTTTGCAGATTTGCAAATATGGCGGACTTACAGATGCAAGTATCCAAAAAATATCTACAAATTCGCAATATTTATTACCCCTAACAATACTATAAATCCAAATCCACCCTTAAGAAGGTTAGAACATCCTACAACCATGAAGTCTTCTGTTTCTTTTGATTGAATACAGTTCATAGTGTCAGATTATCGAGTTTTTAAACATAGTAATGGACTTGGGTTTAGTGTTGTTGGGGATAATAAAACCACAATAAATATTTCGAATTTGCAGATCTTTTTTGGAATACGAAAACTTGATACATGCATATGCAAGTCCGCCATATTTGCAGATCTGCAAAGTTGCCGCCATATTTGCAGACGTTCTGTAATCTCACCCTAGATTTAAGTACCGATGACAGGAGCTAATCGTCGTAGCCAAATCCAACAGTTGTAAGGCGAGGATAAGAGTTGAATGAAAAATTACTAGATTTAAAAGTCAAGCGCTTTTTTCGCGCATGAGTAATGTGAAATTGTCGAATGACGGGAAAGGTAGATTGTCAGATTTTAATAGCAAATAAATTACATTTTTATAAAAATAAAATATATTTTAAACCCAAACAAAACGAATTAGCAAATAGCAAGAATCACGACTAGAGTTAAACTGGCAAGTTAACTATGTGACAAGCGCGTTATTAAAATTGAAATGATAGTTGGTCGGGTTATACCCACCACTCCATTTTTTTTTGCGGAAACGGTTTTGTCGCTTTTATGTGGTTGTTCTTCTCGGATAATGCTCTATCTAATTCACCCCCTAACGAGTGAATTTTAACCCCAAAAGCTGAGCTTGTCTGGGAAAGTGGACGGTTATTATTTGTCGTGGCGCAACGGGGCGACTTAAAAATGATTGGCGGTGCCATTTGACTTACAGGTGAGGAACGTCGGAAAACCTCAACCACCAGTGGCGGCTCGTGGGCACTAGCGGCAGTGGGGCACACACTGGAAAGGAATCTCGGGATTCGTTCTTTCCTTAGGAAAACAAGTTCTCCGCTTAATAAAAATTAAATATTTTTAAAAACAATCAGTTGGGGCAATACCGATTTCTGAATGTGACTACAGGAAGCTAAATGTGACCACTCAAAATGCATTTAACTATGTATGTGGCTATTTAATCAAAAAATCATTACATATCCACTTTTGCAAAATTTGCGAAAATTTATCAGAAGAATGCAATTTACTTAACAATTCTAACTTGTTAAGGCATTTTAAAGCATACGACTCTGAAGAAAAGGTGTTTGGCAATTTAAAATCTCCCAGCGAAAAATTTCTCTTTTATATTTTCAAATTACAAAAAATATTTATATCTCTATTTGATAGTTTGTCAACTAAGCCTGGAATTTCCAACGCATACCTTTTTGAGATGAGCAAAATAGAATTTGGTCATCCTTACCAACAATTTGCGAAAATGTACACCATTAAATTATTTTTTATACTCTTAAAATTGCAAACCGATATTTGAAATCCTCGAAAAAGTCAGACAAAACCAAACGAAAAATTAAAATTTTGTCCCATTTATAAATATTATTTCTCTCTTAATACAAAAATCTTTTTGCTGTTTAAAAATGATTTATTATCATCGAAAGATACTAACCTATAGCTCAAAAATTACTCTTTGCGACTCTTTAGTCTTATCAAGATTCAATCACTCCGATATTTTGTATGGCCCAGCCATAAATAAAAATGAATGCAGGCGTCTTCAGCTGGTTCAAAACTCGTGCGTTAGGCTTATTTGTGGGATTCGTAGACGAAATAGAATCTCACCTAGTTTAAAACAGATCGGCTGGCTTAATTTAAAACAAAGGCGTTTCCTCCACTGCTGCGTTTTCTATCACAAATTAATTGTTACTAAAATTCCAACATATCTCTATAAAAAAGTCCAACTTCGATATCAAGCACACTCACTAAACCTCAGATTTACTAAATCTTTGTTCATTCCCAAACACAGAACTGCTCTTTTTAAATCCTGCTTCTCCTATTGCATATCCCAGTATTATAACTCTTTACCTAATTTTCTTAAATCATTATCATTGGTTAATTTTAAAAAAAAGTTAAAACATCTAATTCTGAGTAACAGTTTGCCTATCTAAACATGATTCATTTGATGTCGTACATGGAGATGTGAATTTGTCTAGGTACTTGTTTCAGCTTTTTGTTTATGACTAATATCTAATTATTGCTCAATTTTTTTATATTATATATTATTTTTTATTGCTTAATTAGTTTATTGGTAAAAAAAATTTATGTACCTAGGTAATGTATGTTAAGTGGAAGAACGCTCTCCTTCATTCTGATTCTTTTTCAGATTGAAGAAAGCGAACTTTGCCTGTTGCTCTACAGGATACCTTGTATTTGTCATATTTTAAGTGATGTATTTTAATGTTTTGTAAAGGCCTGTATCAATAAAATCGTTATTATTATTATTTTTTTTTATCATATTTTTGACTGGTTTATAAAAAAAAGTTATTTTTCTTTGTAGTTTTATTTCCTAACTATTCCAATGGTCCAACTAACGTTTTTCGTAATCACAATAAATAAATTATTATCATGGTCCAACAAACGTGCACCTCATCGCATTTGTGAGGGAGCCGGTAAAGATGCCGCTGCGTACATTCGTATTTGGTCTAGGTAATCTGTGCCATGCACATACTTTGATTTTCTTTTACTATACGGAGAATGGTCGCACTGCGCAGCTTTCTGAGTGCCTTTTAAAAGGAGATAGAAAACTCCGCCATTTTGAACCCTTATTACGTGTTGCCTACATCTTGGCGCAATATTTTTAATAGGTGCGTTTTAATCATCCGCTTCTGCTTCGGAATTGTCGGTTTTCTTGTTTTAATCTAAAAGGTTAAAACGACTAAACCGACAATTCCGGAAGCAGAAGCGGATGATTAAAACGCACCTGATATTTTGCTTGCTGCTGTCAGTGTCAGTGAATATTATTTTTGAAGTCACAGTTTATTGCTAAAGAATCAGTTAGCTCACTCGGACCAGTTGAAAGTTCCAAAATAACATCCACTCCAGGGATACAAATCCAGGCGGTTGCCATATATTGTATTATCCGAGTTGCACAGTATATAAACTGAAACATTGAGATCAAAAGTGCCGACGCAGAGTGAGCGATCTGATTCTTTAGCTGTAAACTGTGTCACAGGGTTCAAAATGGCCGCGCCCTATGTTGGGCGTATCGGACCTCTCTCTTGCCTCGTATAGTAATCAAAGTATGTGGTGCCATGGGACTGCGCCCCGCTTGTGCGTATAATCCATCGCATGTGTTCTTCTCTTGCTAAGCGATATTGTCGCATCATAATGAGAGAGAAAACAAGAGAGGCACACATTTACTGTGCCATGTGCTCATCTTGATTTCGGAATTCTCGGAACGTCGCTCAACGCCCGGTCGTCCAGTGTCGTGCCAATGCGGTTTGCACTGAATATTAGATAAAATAATAATAGGCATTGAGAATAATATAAAACATGTAAGTTATTTTTTTTTTTTTTTTTGGTTTATTATACTAGGACACGTGCCCAAGTGCCCTTACGGGCAAACCGCCACTGTCAACCACTATCATCATACTGGTTGGCAAAACACATCATGTTACAAAATATTTTCCATAGTTTTTCTTCTTGCTTTAAGCTACATTAATATAGTTCTATTAGCTGCAGCAATACTATATTTTTTTGGGGGGAGGGGAAGCTAGTGTTGTCCTTGATTTTACAGTTGTAACTATTGTTTTCCTCTATGTATCTGGGAGTTTTGCCTTTCTGATAGAAATTTTACTTTCAAAATGGTCAGTAGACATTTTTAAACTACGGATTACGGCCTGTAAAACTTTTAGTATAGGTAATCCTCGTCGTCATCTTTCGCTGAAGCAAGTAACGGTCACCGAATCCTATAACCCCACGAAGGAATATCCCAGTAGCATTTCAGTACCCGACTTTTTCTGACTCTTCTGTATGTACTTTACTTGATTCTGCTGGTTAGACCAACCAGTACTACTTTTTTTCCCAGACCAATACACAGGCTCAATGCATATTGAACAGTTTCAAATAGTATAGTATAAAAAGGGTTGGCCCAAGTTTCGAGCCTTGGGGCACATCAGCATGAACTTTATGCTAAATTGAACAATTGCAAGAACATCAGGTCGCTAAAAACCTTAATTAAAATTTATGACCCTGCTAAACTGAAAAAGAGATTGAGATTTTGAGACCACTGTCGTCCTGATAATTGAGTTGACAAGTGAACAAGGACGGAAGACAGGGTATGGGTGGTTCAAATGCAGCTTCAAAAAATTATCTAAAATAAAACGAATTATTTGCTTTTGACAACTATTTTATTGTTGTGTATGTAGGACAAATGGCCTGTTTTTAATGGGAGCACACAATAATTAATTAAATCGATTAAAAAATAAAAATATATCATAAAAAATTACAACGATTTTCACGATCTACACAATTGGAAAGGCTAAAACCTTATCAATCATTATTTAACAATAAAATTAATTGTATACAATATAAATGATTTTTCTTTTTCTTTCATAATAAATTACATAGTCACAATAAAATCTATACAATCCAACTATAGCCTACAGATATTTATCTAAGATTCTAATTTTAATTAAAAAAAAAAAAAATATCGAAACATAAAAAATTAACACTAAGAAATCGTTTATTTACTTTTACCAAAAAAATGGCAGCTTTTTCGAAAATGCCCGGTACAGCAAACTCGCCTCAGAAGAGTTTTCCTACGCCAAAATTATCAAAATTATCTTAATCGTACAAAAATATTATTTTCCTGTTTTTTTTTTCATATTTTCACAAGATTCCCGGAAAATAACGCAAAATTGGCAACAACGCACAGTAGAAAGTATAAGTTTCTAAACGCCACAGCGTCGTCAAATTTGCTATTTCTTCACAAGATCTCAGGAATCGAAGAATTTCGAAATGGAAAAAATCGTTTCTGGTGCAAGTTCACGATGCCTTTTTGGGGCCGGCCCCCCTCCCCGATACAGCCCGGAGTGTATACAGAAATGCTCTTTTCCAAATTTTTATTTTCTCGTAAACACAACACAATGTGCGAGTAAAATATCTAACTTGAAACTGAACGTTTTTTGACTCACATTGAATTGCAGCGGCACGGAGCCACTGTGGTCTGTATCGGAAAGCGATCTAGGGCACGTTTAACCACAGTTACTCGGCTAGCACCACGTTTCGTTTCGGAACCATTATCGCTTCCGCGTCATTTCAAAAGGTGCCAAAAAATGAGACTGTGATGTTTAATTTACAAATTTATGACCTAAAAAGTTTTAAAAGCTAATAAAATATTTTATATCTTACAATTTTCTGTTTCGGGCGAAAATAATTTTTTTTGGAGTTCTCCAGTGAACTGTTCTTGACCCTTATCTGTCTAATGCTAATATATATGGTGATGTAACAGCACATTTTGAACTGACGCGTAGCGATTTTTGTAAAGAAAAAGAAACGTAGCACTCAGTTTTTAAGGTTCAGAGCGCCAATCACAGTGTTTATTCCCAATCTTTTCAACTAATCTACGTGGGAGCGGGAGAGCTAGAAAGAGGGGGAAAAAGTGGGTGAGGGTATTCTTAAGGAGGTAGAAATTTTTAACGGTACACCTGTCAATGTATGAGAATCTTCGGTTGTTCCCATGTGAAGCCCTCTCTGCCAAAGTGACCGTAGGTGCTGGTCTTTTGGTAGATTGGTTGTCTTAGGTTTAATTCTCTGTAAAAAATAAAAAGAAAATACATTTTAATGAGTTAATAACTAGGTTTTATTCAGGAGGAAGTACTCAAACTCTCAAAATCAGGCTTGCCCCACAGAAGTAATCGTAGGTCATACAAATTTTTAAAATTCCGAAAAATGTACTTTTATGTAACATCAAACGAAAAATTGTTGAAAAAAAAATAATACAGTGTTCCTTGTTTTTAGAAATTCGAAACTTAAAAAGTGTTTATTTTTCGTAAGTCAAAAACAAGAATTATTTTGGACATTTTCTTTTGATTTCTCGAATTAACATCAAGAAACAAAATGGGAACGTCCTTTATACGTTTTGAAAGAGATATAAACAAACACGAAGTCTATATTGACATATTTTGGATATTCAGGAATAGAATCTCGAGTAACCAAAGGTGAAAACAATCCGCCATCCCAGTGGGAATCGAACCCATTTTTCTATCCTTTCGAGCCGACGACTTAACCTTTTTTTATTGCTAAGAAAATTGTTGGTTATTTTTTCCATTACCTATAGTCTATTTTTATGTATGAGAGAGTATTAAAATAATAAAGCGTTCGTAATCCATAGGCGTATCACTTTTTTTAGTAGACAGTTAAAATATTTTTTGAAGTTATTCCTCGAGTATACACTTATATTTTCACCTAATTAACCTGCTTATAACTTCTAAACAGCTGAAGGTAAAAAAGTGCAATTTTTTCTAAAATGTTTTATTTTTCCTCAAGGTATGTTAAGAACATTGTGTCAAATGGGTTATGTAGGTATAAGGGTTTAAAATTTGACTTTTAAACAACGTTACGTTCATAAATAATAATTTTAATATAAAAACTACTTCTTACCTACAAATCCAAATCAGAATCGAAATCAGAAAATGAACTGTCGCAACCAATATTTACAATGAGTGGCTCGATCATTTCATCAGTAATATTGTCCAACTTCCACATTTTCTCTTCTTCTTTAATCGTATGATTTACTGCCTTTTCCCAGTTTTCAGGCTTCACATTATTTACAGCCCTCCAAAAACAACTGTTTAATATCACTCATTTTAAAAGAATGATTTTTTCTTGAAACTTCTCCCTTTATCTGTGCCCATATCAGTTCAATCGGGTTTACTTCGCAATGATATGGTGGTGATCTAACCAACGTCATCCCACGATTTTTTGCAATTTCATCAATTTCATATTTTTTGAATTTCTCTTTATGAAGGGAACACAAATGATACAGTTCTTTTCTCACAGAACCGGGATGGAACTTAATATTCTTTGAATTTAGCCAATTCTGTAAATCTTTTTTTAACCACTTGGTTGTGGGCATTTTTTCTATAAGTCTCGAATGATAACTTGCATTATCCATTACGATTATACAGTTCTGAGGAAGAAGATCTATAATTTGTTTGAACCACTCTTTAAAGACATCAGCATTCATGTCCTCATGTTAGTCACCGGTACGAGTAGATTCAAAAGTCAATAAACCACCTTTAACAAAACCGTTTGAACTGCCGATGTGTACTATTATTAGTCTGCGCCCCTTTCCTGATGGTAGATTTAAACCAGTAGATAAATTATTTAAAAAAGCCTGTCTTCGACTTGTAACAGTTTCATCTTGCCAAAATTTATTTGGTTTATGTCCCTCGTTGATCCATGTTTCATCTAAATATAATATATTTCTTTTTTGGTTTCTCATTTCTTTTATAGTCCTTAGGTAATTTCTTCTCCATACTACAATATCGCTTCTTTCTATTAAAATAGACTTTCTGGAATGCTTTTTTCATACAAAATCTATTTCTTTTAAAAGTTTCCATAGTGTGCTTCGACTCATTTCAGGGTAATCCTTATCATCTCGAACCGTGGCAAGAACTTTGTCTACTGTCGGAAATTCTTTTCTAAAGAAGAACGCATGCACTTTCCTTCGAAGTCTTTCTTTCAAAAGATTTTCTAATTGAAATTTTGGTTTTCCTGGAGCTTTACGTGCTGTTTGAAACTCGTCACATTTCTCTTCTTTAACAACTCTGTAAATCGTAGATTTCCCAACACCAAGCGTACTACTAACTAATTCCACTGTGTCATCAACACTTTTACATACATGTTTGTCTGTAAATGATTTAAAACAATTAAATATTAATGTTTTTTCATTAACTGTTAAAGGACCGATTTTTTGTCGTTTACGCGGCCCTTCCAAATTTTCCATGATCACACTAGAATTCACACTGCACCTTGCAAGTTGCAACTAAACTACATTTAATAAACTGTCAAGAATACACAACTTGGACCTCCTTACTAAATGGAAAACCTATAATCCCATTTTCGGTGAAATTTATTGGGAAGGTATTTATCTACTTATAATTCGATTACTGTAAGAAATTCTTGGAATTAAAATAAAACAAAATTGGCAAATAGGTACTTATTGAAAATAATCTTAAGATACGGCTATGTAATCTTTAATACACAGGGCTTTTGGCCTGTCCAAACCTTTTTCTATTGTTCTGTACAGCTTATGTTTATAAAGGACCAATAAAAGACCCAAAACTTGTAATAGCTCAGGTACATTTATTACAATTTTAGGAAATATTTAGATTATTCTATAAAAATATTTAAAATGACCGTACTAAGTTTTGCATTAGAAATGCTGTTTTATTACTCTCTCATACATAAAAATAGACTATACCTTCCTACAATGAAGGGACGTCCCCAAGTTTTTTTTAAATTTTGACTGCACCCGAAGATGGAAAAGTTTTCCGAAACATATGTAGAGCTGTGCTAAACAATTAAAAATAAAAACGACCGAGTGAACCAAGGAAATTTTTATTTATATAAATGATTATAATGGCGCTATATTTGGGTCTGCAAATGAGCCGTAAAAATTAAATAATTATAATGGCGCCACATTTGTAGACCCATATTTAATTTATTATTTATATTAATTGTAAACCACATAAAAATTATACGACACTGGTCATAGTGTCTGTAACATTTCCCCTCTGAACCCAAACAAACGCTATTAAATGCGAACTCTATGAAATATAATGCTCGAAGAATTAGGGTGGCCTCTGAGAGGTAGCCTAACAGCTACCTATATTTCAAATTAAAGTGAAGAAACCTTAGTTAGAATACTTACTTGACAATTTTACCCGGCCTCAAGTCGAAATTCTTCTTGATGACGTCCAGCAAATCTTTTTGGCTCAGTTTCGAAGTACCATAGTCAAATACTGTAATAGAGAGTGGTTCGGCCAAGCCAATGGCGTACGCTACTTGCACCAAACATCTTCGGCATAGTCCGGCCTTCACCAACGATTTGGCAACCCATCTGGCTGCGTACGCAGCCGATCTGTCCACTTTAGTGAAATCTTTTCCGGAAAACGCTCCTCCTCCGTGGGCTCCCCAGCCTCCGTATGTGTCTACGATGATTTTTCTGCCCGTCAGACCTGCGTCACTCTGGAAAATTAAGAAAATTGAATTAGAAATGAAGTTGGGTAGTTGTTGCTTTAGATTAATTAGTTGTTGGTGGTCAGTGATTGGTAGTTGACTTCATATTTACTCGAGATAGCAAATACTCTTAAAATAACATCATTTGGATGGGTGACATCTACTATTAGCTTTTAACTATCTATCGTGATGCTGTATCATGTATATCATAAAAATATAATCTCATGGGAAGTTTCTTTATCTATGAACTCTTTTTGGGTTATCTAATGCATTTAAATCATTTAAGAAACTATAAAGATCTCGTTAGCTCACAAATATTATATAGAACTTTAACTAAAAGGTTATCACCCTCAAAGCGTCACTTGTTCATATAAGACCAAAATAACACACCATTACCTAAACGTGTAAACCTTCCAAAGAAGTAGAGAGGGTAGAATGATAAGGTACCAAGGTACCTACTGCACATCCATGACGAGTGTAGAAATTGTGCATGATTCAACCTTTCACTCTTATACACGTATATGAGAAGGAGAGGTTGCCCCAAAGCACAGTAAACAAATTCGAGGACTGGCTTGGTCCAGCCATTATTTTCATGTTCAGCTTTGTTTTTTGTTTGTGTTGTGGCTGTTGAAAGCTTTTATTAGCGTCGGTTCTTTATTGGCTTGGTTATATTTGTGATTTTTTGTGCTTTAATTTCGATTTAATATTAAATTATACCTTTTAATTATTTTCCGATGCACTATTTTATATTTGTTGCACAAAATGTTATTAAACCGTCCCTGAAACATGTTTACAAAATGTGCGAAACGAAATTGTGCATAGTGACTATACTTTTTCATTGACAATTATCATTCTACCCCTCCCAACTTCATTGAAACGTTCTAACATGCATATGTAATAATTTTACAGGAAAAGTAAAAAAACAGCTTCATGTAGATATGCTTAGATAGGTACACGTTCTTATGAGAGTTTGGCGCCTCTGTGGAGTATGGATAGATTAACTAACAAACATATCAGAGAACAAGCGAATAAGTAATATCTGCAATTGTTGAAATATGATTTAGTATTATTCGTTGTATTATGCGAACTCAACTTTTTTTTTCTCCTGGGCTCGTCTAGCTATGTCTCCGAATAACTCTTAAGCCTATTGGCTTATTGTTAGTTCACCTTTGTACCTTGTACAAGTTTGTACAGATCCTTGGGTGAGTGGGTTCTATACGTTGTTGGATCAACCTGGGGTTCTCCAAAAAGAGCCTGTCTTTTGCGATCTAGAGCTTCGCATTCACACAGTATGTATTTGGCCGTTTCTGGTTTCTTGTGACATAGTCGGCACATGAGTTCCCCATTGCACATACCAATTTTGTTCAAGTGTCCCTTTACTGGGGCGTACCCAGTCATGAACCATGTTATCACTTTCAACAGGTTTCTATTCATAAAGATTAGTTCTCCAGTTCTTTTGGGACATGGTCTGCCTATGAAGGCTTTTCCATGTGCCTGTTTTGGGGTGCTTCCCCAATAGTTATTATGTTGTTCCCGAACTCAGCTTAGTTAGTTACATTTAGTTTGTTTATTGGTAATACTGCACAATTGACAGTATATTGACTTATGTTAGTCAAATAGACGGTTGTCGTTCGTTCAAGCGTTATGCGTAAAACTAAAGTAGTTTAAAGAGTTGTAGAAATATATTTAAACTATAGACCATATAAATTAACAGTAACAAATGAAACCTAAACCGATGAGAAAGGAATACCTACCTAGAATGACAAACACTAGACATAGGAAGACATAACAAGAAGGTAATGTTAGGCACGGGATATATCTACAGTAAATATTGGTGGGTGGTGTTTTTCTCATTTGTAAGTCAAATAGCACGTAAAAATTGGCATCGTTGCCTAATTTTCTCGTGTAGACTTTTGCCAACTCGTTGCAAAATTGATACCTACCTATATACAAATCTTCACAAGTAGATCTTTCCTGAGGCACTGCTGGAAGCTTAAGGGCACGAAATAAAAATTGGTTTAGAGTTATTTTCCTACAAACTCATAAGGGGATGAATTAGAGGTAGAGTATTATTATTATTATTAATATTATCTGCCGAATAATATAAATGACCTAAAAATTTGTCACCATATCCTTAATTTTTTAACCTCTTTTTATATGACATGCGGATCGCGACTGCTTACTATTAAGTGATATTTATCTTTAATACACCATTAGATTAGTCAAAACAAAAATATCTGGGTATCTGTTACAAATTAGGCGGCACGTCCTGCTGATTGTAAATATTTACGACAGTATTTTTCTTTCTTAAATGCCGTGCCGCCTACGGAAAAGATTTTGTTTATGAAAACTAATATTTTGTTAATAAAAATATGGAAAATAAACTACCTTTTTTTATAAAACAATATAATTAATATAGTATAGAACAATTCGTTTTTAGTTCCTTTGCTAATCTATACCATGCTGAATACTTATGTTTCCTATCTTAAGTACATTTGTAATGTATTTAATGAATTCCGTCCAGATGTCCTATAAATAAATGTTAAGTGTGTTGGGTATCGTATTACACAGCTCCCGCGTCATCATCACATTTCTTACACACTTTACCCAACATTTAACCCTATATACATACATTAACTAAATAAACTAAAAACAAAAACAAAGGACCATGCATGGTCTTCAGTAATACCCAGTTTTTGTCTAACTTGTCCCAGCATGTTTTAAACGAAGGGGGTATAAACAATAATCAAAATTAAAAATTCAAATATGAGTAAACACCACTATAATCGTATGAATATTGAATACAACAGCCAGTGGCCAGTAATTCTGCGCAGAAGATCGACGATCGACCGGATCGACCACGTTGATTGTACTTTTCAGAATGCCCTGTGAAACACCAACATGATGCCAACTAAAAGCCCAGGTATTCACGCATCGTCATCAATACGTGCTTATATCCCTGACCAGAGGCGTCTCTAGGTAAAATTGCTAACAATATCAATTTCTCTTATCTTTTGATACAGCTACGGCTAACTTGCGCTTCATTTTGAGCTTCTATAGTTCCCAAAAGTCTTCGATGGGTCGAGCCTGTAGTATATTTATCAGATTGTCAGCTCTTGGCACAAAAGGTATGTTTTGTGCTTCCAACTATTTTCGTCGTTATGTCTTAACGTTGACTTGCCAAGTCTCGCTAAAACATTATTACATCATGTGAACGAGTCGTATTAATAAACTGGAGCATTTTCCATAGACATTTCTTGATATAAACGTTAGCGTTAACTGCTTCACCCCTCACATGTCAAATAGAAGGTCTTGAACTCCATTATCCGATACAGTACACTAAACTAGAATGTTTTTTCCCATTTTCTACATTATCGGCATAAAAATTATCACTGCCTTTTATTTCTGAGTGAGAGAATGTAAAATATTTTATTTCGACGTAATCTACAACAAATTGGGATAATTCGCAGCTGATCCTCTGTACCTATGTCTTTTACGGTACTGCAAGTCTTCTTCCTGCAAACCTGATATTTACTATATACTATGATTGGTTGCCAGCATTTTTACTTTAATTCCGGTGAACTTTACCAGATGGTTGTATCTACACGAACATGGGTGTGCGAAATTAACCCAGTAGAGAAGCAAGTCAAGAAAATTATTAAAAGTTAGACTAATTAGTAGCAGTGTTGCCAGACTATTTTTTTTTGTATAAGAAATGTATTGCAGTTTTCCAGTTATAAGAAAGGAACAAGTCACTAATGTCAGTAGATAGAGGAACGGCTCAATTTACTGCTCAGCATCTTATGAATGGGGGGTTCATGCCGCTGTTAATTCACTACAGGTTTTGGATCATATCCAAAAAGATTTATTTACCTGAGGTCCACCGATAATGAACAGTCCGCAAGGATTAATGTGTATGACGGTTTGCTCGTCGATATATTTGGCGGGAATGACGTCCTTGATGACCTTTTCTTTGATTTCTTTCCTTAACTCTTCGAGGGAAATTTTTTCGCTGTGTTGAAGCGAAACGACGACAGTGTGTACTCTTTGTGGAATGCAAGCGCCATGTTCGAATGTGTATTCGGCAGTGACCTGTAATAATTACAAAAAAAAAAACAATTTAAAATTCATCTTTAACAGAAAATTGACGAGTACACAAGAATAAAATTCCTCAGTTGGTTGTTAACATCACGACTTCTCAAGAGTAGCAAATACTAAGATACATCATAGGCAAAGTTTATATTATATTATTCTTGTAGAAAAACGTAACAATTATTTTGGTTTGTTATGTTCGGCATAGGGTATTAATGCACTTAACATTTGGTAAGTTGGAGGTTAAATAGAAATCGTGCGGCACTCATGTCAATTTACTTGACGCCCCAAAATAATAACATATTTTTGACACCACCTCTTCTCCGTCTGTCAACTAGTCGCGAGTATTCTATGTGGGTGGCCAGAGCTCTTGGTGAGGTAACACCGTTGCCTATTTTTAAAGAAATAATAATAGCGTCCTTCAACCAGTAGAATTTGTATAGTATGTGCCACCTATTAAGCTGTTCATCGGCAATTTCATTAAAAACTTCTGTTAATGTTCTCAATGGGTATTTAAACTTACTTGTCCAATTTGAGGACTTCTTCAGCTTTGTGTTTAGCCTATTCCAACTAGCTCAATAAAGGTATACAATTTGACTTCGTCTACCTCAAACTGATCATATACCCACAATTACCGTTAGGGCGGAAACGCTAGACCGACATCTCGAATACAGGTCAGTCACCTACTCGCCCAGAGCGTCGCAGAAAAACCCCTACATCTATGGAAAATGACCCGCGAAGAAACGCCTTCGACAGTGAGTTGACAGAAATTCGCAGTCGCCAGTCCATCCAAAAGCACAGTGGTTAAAATGCACGTATAGAAGGACCCGTTTAATAAATTCTGAGCGGCGTGAACTGCTGGACAAAACAGGCGCATCTCTATTTTAATAAAAAAACGCTATAGGCCAAATCTAAACGTTACATTGTACAGCTAACGTTAATTCACGCTACAAGGGTTTACAGATAAGTAGAAGATGCTCTATGCAATCTACTGAGCAGCCAGTTGGCTTATTCAGACTTAGCCACTACTATACATCAGCTAAATTGCTAAACATGCAAGTCAATACAACCAGCTTTAGATACTACGTTAACTTTTAATTAATTTTTAATATTTTGGGTACAAATGCCACTTTTATTTCCTAAATTATAAACTTTTGTTGATATAAAAGGGATCAAATAATATTATTCCGCTCTAAGCCGAGGAAAATATCTTAATTGCCAGGTAACAACCACAAATACTGGCATAATCAATTTTTTTCTACGTAGAAATGTATAGTCCATTTAATAGGGCTATAGACTGACTGCCCTGTATATTATTTTTTAGTTACTATTTGCATGGGTTTTACTTTATCTAGTAACTTTTTCCCAGTTGTCAAGACGTAATTCGGGGAAAACGTGTTTTATATTTCCCGCGTATTCAGCTAAAAGTTCTCAATTACCATGTAAACAGAAATAAAATGTATATGCCATAATAGACCGTCAGATAGTGACTAATTTAGGTGCCCCATTTTCGCATGCAAGCCTCGAAGATGGTTGAAAAGTACATCGATTTTGAGTAGAATGAAAGCAAATTTATGCGCGGCCCCTGGGGATAACATATGGAAAATTCGATTTTCCTTAACATAAATAAAAGGTGTTTTTTGGTCATTTTTCCACGCAAGCCATTTTCACTATATGATTAATTATTAGAACTAGGCTTCGGAAAACCAAAGGCTTTAATGTTGCAAGTGGCTAAAGGGTTGAAATAAGGGCGTAATCTTGTAAAGTAAAATCGATATTTTAACTGATTTTTCCACACAAGCCCGTCGAAAGTATGAATACATACATCGTCACTAGCCCGAAAAACATATTGGCTTGAATGGCGCGAATGGATAAGTGCATTTTGGAATCGGAAAAATTACCGCAATTTTTTTTTTATTTTTGAGTTATTTTTTCATGCAAGCCTTTTCAACTATAGAATGTTATTAATGTGTTAGACGTAATAATAAAATTGGCATGAGTATCGGATGTGGACGAAACGAAGGCTTGAGTCGAAAAGTTGCAGGAAAATTGTATGGAAAATGCCATCATTTTCCCACGCTAGCCGTTTGACATATGCTTAGACAAAGTGATTCTAAGACTATATAACAAAAGGCTTGAGTGTCGGACATGGTCATCAAATTAATTATATTTAATTTATTTAACAAAAACCTGACAAAAAAGTTTATAAATTTCCACCATTTTCCCACACAAGCCTTTTAGATATGCTTAGAAAAAGTGATTCTAAGACTATATATAAAATGGCTTGAGTGTTGAACATGGTCTTCATATTATTTATACAAAATTTATTTAAGAAAATGCTGACAAGAAAATCTATAAATATCCACCATCTTCTCACACAAGCCGTTTGGCATATGCTTGGAATCATTTATAATTCGCCTTATAAAAAAAATAAAACTAAAACCTAAATAGCAAAACCTAAATATCACCCTAAATCATCTAAATATCGATTTTCAAAGTTATTTTATATTAATTTTATTATAAGAGTTGTCTCGTGGCCGGACTATTCAACGACTAATTTTATACCTTTTAAATGTTTATTAACATTTTCGATTATATCGAATAATATACCAATTATGACATTGGATATTTATTATGAGCCATAAACTAATTCCTCATTGTGACATAAGGTTATATTCTAATTATCATGTATATGTATACATTTTCGATTATGATATCGAACAATATTCCGAAATTCGTTTAATTAGTTCTGGATGTGTTCCAGAATTATTTCCTCCATTAGAGTTTAGAATGTAAGTTAAAAAATATTATTTGAAATTGATTTTGACTCACTTGTGTTTTGGAATCGGGTCTTGCCCACCAGAATTCTCCAGACCTTCTTAGCTCTGCTATTCTGTGGTTCAACCTGTGTGCTAATACTACTGTAAGAGGCATACATTCTTCTGTTTCATCTGTTGCGTAACCGAACATGAGACCCTATAGAAAAAAATCGATTTGTGAGGAAATTTTGATTTTTATGATACAATATCAATAGTAGACGACAACTTATTCATTATAAGTGAATTTTACATTAAATATTAAATAGGTTTGTTCAATATTATTATGATTTTTTTATATTATTCATTTAGTTCATTTAAAATAAAAAGTTGTTGTCTAGTTTATTCATTAAATAGAGGAATTGTAATGACACTATGAGAAATGAAAAAAAAAAAAAAAAAAAAAAAAACCTATTGAAGTAATAAGTTAAATCAACAGCGCAGGTTAACGTTTAAAATTTTTTTTTTTTATGAAATGAACCTTTTATTTAAATTTGCTTTTTATTGTTTTGTTGTAAACCCAATTTATCATGCAGTATTTATTTTAAGTAATATGGATCGATTTACCTTTACCTAAATATATTTTTTTTGAAAATCTCTTATTTCGCTCCAGATAGAATTATATTCACTAATCTACGTCAAACATGACTATCAATATAATCACTTTGTAGATCTGTAGTTCTTTTATAGTTGTTTTAAGTATGAACATGGAGTATTTTTACTTTCCTATCTGTATACAGATATAAGGAAAGTATAGGAATCATGATTTTTTTCGACATAGAGTTTTAGACGGATTTTTACGTTTTGAGGTCCCCTGAATCCGTTTTGACTATTTTCGCGATGATGTCTGTGTGTGTGTCTGTGTGTGTTTCTGTATCCACCATAACTCATGAACCGATACACAGAAAAACACCAAATTTTAAACTTAAGCTTTATTCCGACGTCCAATGAACTAATTAGATTTTGGGCAGAGTCGGAACATCTGGGGGGGTACTTTATGGGTGGTCATTTTTATATTTTATGGAATATATCTGTTATTTATGTTTGGAGAAGAAAATTCTTCAAATAAAAGTTACTTATTGTCTATAATTTTTGTTCTATACAAAATTTTCCTAAAATGGTCCGTATTCGAGAAATTTGACAAAATGTAAAAAAAATAATTTTTTATAAAAATTGTTCAAATGAAAGTTGTTTGTAATATAATTTTTATTCTATACATAATTTCTCTAAAATTGACCGTATTCGAGATATTTGAGAAAATGTGTAAATTTTGAATTTTGAAAAAAACTCAAAAACGGATAAAGAAAAAAACATTAAATTTTAAACTAAAGTTTTATTTCGGCCGGGTACTTTATGGGGGGCGTTTTTATATTTTATGGAATATATAACATATGTAAAAATTTCCTGAAATGGTCCGTATTCGAGAAATTTGGCAAAATGTGCAAAATTCTGATTTTTATGAAAATCGTTGAACTAAAAGTTGTTTGCGATATCGATATCTATAATTTTTGTTTATACATGATTTTTCTAAAATGGACCGTAATGGAAAAATTTTTAGGAAAAGTGGTAAATTTAAATTTTTCAGTATTTTCGTTTTCAATGAATATCTATAGAAAAATGTTTCGAGGTAGATGTATGTGGAAAATGCATATATTTAGTTTATCCTCTAAACATTTATAGAGATGCAATAGGTTGTACAAAATAACCAGAAAAAGCCTATAATAACTAGATAGGAAAGTCATGTGTTGGGCACATCAGATTTTTTTTATAAATTTGCTTCTACTTTCCGATTGACACTAATATATCGAACATTCTTATGTTAATGAGTTAATGTAGGATAAAACATCGTCCTGTATAAATAGTGTTTATTTTCATTTCTTTAAACAGTGAATTCGATTAAAATAATCTATATTTATGTTTTAAGCAATGTCAAATCAAATACTTGACACAATAATTGTTTTCAATAAATAATATTCACTATAAAACCAGATTAATAATTACATAAACGAAATTTATTCAATGAATGAACTTGAAATAATTTTTTTTATCAGAATATCTTTTCATTATCATTAGTTTTAATTTCGCTGTAACTGAGATGACAACAGATAAATCACATTCGTGATAGCGAATTATTTAAACAAACTGCTGATTGTTTTAAAAGAAAATTATATCGTTATTATTGACAAAAAGATGTCGTAGGCGCCAACTTGTGATATAAATAACGTACAGTAGTGTCTATGATAATGAATAATGTAAATTTGAACCATAGAACACAACCTTTTTTAATTTTATGCGTTTTTATACTTTTTTTTTGAATTGTTTGCACTGAGGCTTTTAAGAAGACGTCACTTAAATTCCTTGACTTCTGAGCAAAATGGAAAATAAAATAACTACAGTAGTTTTATGAATTTGAAATTTGCTTTATTGATACAAATGTATTAGCTGTTAAATGTTATAGAAAGGATCTACCATGTGAACTCAGGGAGGACAATTAGTTTGAACTTGGGGTCACTGACAACAGTATTCCAGGCTGAAGTAACAGCAATAAATTCCTGCGCCAAAGTCATGCTAAATGACTCTCTTAGAGATAAGAGGATCTTTATTATGACAGTCAGGCAGCCCTTAAAGCACAGAAAAGGGTAGAAGTACAATCTAAATCAATATTTGATTGCCAACAGTCCCTCCAGATCCTGGCAGAACATAACAAGGTCACCCTTGAATGGGTGCCAGGACATGAGGGAGTGTTTGGAAACGAGAAAGCAGACCTCCTAGCAAGGAAGGGAGCGGAAAAAACTCTTATTGGACCAGAACCCACATGTGGTATCTCATACCAACATGTTAAATGGGCGTTAAAGGAACAAATAAATAGAGAACACCTTAAGCTCTGGTTGGAACTGGAACTGGAAAAGATTCATAGAGGGGCCATCCACGAGCAGGCAACATCAACTGCTAAACCTTAGCAGATGCAAACTCAATGCCGTAATAGGACTCCTTACGGGACACTGCGGCCTTAGAAGACATCTAAATCTTTTAGGGATATCTGATGACTCCCTATGCAGAATATAGGAAGAGAAGGACGAAACTCCTATTCACATACTATGCCACTGTCGGAACCTTAAATGGGAACGGGAATGGTACTTCGGGGTACAATATCCGGAACCTGAAGAAATCGCGACATATTCTTGAATTCATCAAGAAAATCAATCTGATGAAATAGAAACTGTGAGGGGTGCAATAAGCCTAGAGCTTCAGTACAAGTGCACGCCCTAATTCATATAGATAGATAGAAGGATGATGTAAAAACCTATAAGCTGTCTGACTGTTTTACTATGTGATCTACTACTGTATAAGTCACAAGACAAAACTAGTTAAATCCAAATGATACATATCGTACATCCCAAGCGCTCTTAGAAGTCAATTATATTAGTTGATGTAGGAACTCCTCATCCAGCCAGCACACCAAATTCTTTGGATATCTACTGAACATCCCAGTATCCACTGAATGTCCAGTCCATGGTAGATATCTATTTTATATCCAATAAATGTAATTTATAGACATGCAAATGTCCATAAATAATAGTAATTATATAGCAAATTATTAAAAAATTACGCCATTGTGGCTAATAGTACCGCTCAGATATTTAAAATTAATTTTTTTAAGGTGTATTCAATATCCCATAAACATCCACTAAATATATCAAAGCCTAGGCGCGAACGCAAACCATCGTGGATATCCACTAGATGTTATTTGATTTTGCTTACTAAGTATAGATGGCGATACCACTATCGCATCTACTCATGCTCGACCCGCCGTAATTGAGTTCGATCGAAATGTGTGTCCTAATCACTCCATTAGAGACTGGAGTCGAGAATTTTCATTTATTGCTGAAGAGTCCTAATAAGGATGACTTTCTCCTTAGTGGGCAAAATCAAAGGCAGAGTGTTGAAAATATTTTTTATCTCTGCTATTTTCTTTCGACGTTATTCAATAATCATTGGTTACTTATGAACCTCTACTAAAGATACCCATAAAATATTTTGCTGAATATCCGAATATCTTCTATATACTGGGATATAGACGGACATTTGGATATCCATATTGGATATATTGAATATCCACAAAATATATTCTGTGGATATCTCTGTCATTTCTTGTATTTTCTGGAAGATACCCATTAGATATTTAGCTAAATATCCATTAGGATATCTTCTATATTCTGGATATAGACGGACATTTGGATATCCATATTAGATCCACGGAATATTTCTGATATCCTGTGGATATATTGGATATCCACAAAAGATATTCTGTGGATATCTCTGGGATTTGGTGTGTTGTCTGGGCATTAGGTAGCTGCACCTGTCAAGAAATCCATTTAGATCTCTTTACTATTCAAAAGACTGGTATTTACCACCACATTCCGTATTGTGTTCTAGGGTCTACAAATAAGTAAAGGGTAAATTTGGAAATGTTTTACGTATTTTTAATTGAACAGAGATATTAATATAACCCGGAACAAATGGTTACTGGGGCTAACTGACAAATGAAAATGTTGTTGTAACAATCAAAATTATATATTTATGTTGGTACTGCAACGTTCTTAGATCCTTTTTAGTCTTAGTTGGTAACACTGTAAGTTTGACAGTTTTTCATTAGTATCGAATTATTAATCCGTTGATCATTGGAATTTCGCTGTTTATAATTATTATTGTAATTTCACAGTTATTCATTATAATCTTTACTTTTTCACTCAGTGTTTTATTACTACCACCAGCTTCCACCACAGAAAATGCCCAAAAACAATTCACTAAAGGACAGTTGTCCAAATTTACAACATAACTAATAATATATACAGGAAGACAGTTAAATATGTAGACGGTGCATACTAATCAAACATGACAATGGACCACAAAACATTTGCAAAGGTCCCAGTAATATAGGCTAGTGTTACCTCAATATCTTTGTTACTCACAACCACAAAGATAAACCAGTCTTTCAAAACCGATAAAACAGAAACGAGTAAATCTAATAGTGGTTGTATGACCAACTAGGTAGATGCCATGAATCATAAGAAAAAGATGAATCGTGATATAGAAAATCGTGGCTAATTATATTCAGAGTCTCAACCAAAATTATTGCAAACCTATTGAGCATTTGTACCGCTGAGATGCTAAGCATAATGGTTAGCTAAAAGAATCCGAGAAGAAAATATTCCAAAATATTCCAAAATCTTCCATATTTTCTGATTCATTGGGTGTTTCCTTATAGGACATAGAGTTTAGCATAAGAGATACCATAACTAGAGGCCAAGGGCAACCTGACAGAATTGAGATGGATCCCAGGCCACACAGGGGTGAGGGGAAACGAGCGTGCAGATGTTTTGGCCAAGGATAGTATAAACAAAGATTCAGTCAACTTTAAGCAGGCATGGAGATTTGTTCACTAGAATTAAAGAGGATAATAGAAAAAGCTTGGAGGATGAATAGAGAGAGAAGTGCAATTTTAAAATAATGGATCGCATACCTTATAAACCGTGGATTAGTTAAATAAAAATAGATACGCTAAGAGCTTCAACCCTGTGTAGAATAAGAAAAGGGCATTGCTGGACACAAGAATATCTTTATCCTGAACCCCTTTCCAAAAAACAAGACCAAATTAACAAGAAAGGTATTCAGAATGTTCTCGAGCTCGAAGTAAGACTAGATACGTGTGTGAAGCTTGTGAAAAATATTTGTCTCTTAAACACGCACCGACAGATTGCCAAAATTGTGCCAACTTCAACAACTAATAATTTTTGTTACTATTGTATTAAATTGGATTCTATTTTATTCGATTATTCGTTAACATAATTAATAGATTTGTATGATAAAAATAGATAGGTAAATCGATCCAAATCTCCAGGTTTATCGAACAATATTTATAATATCAAAGCAGCAAATAACAAAACAATACATAAATAAACAATCACAGAAGCACAATATTTGTCATGCCTTACAACTAAGTAAACCAGTTTCCATAATCGACAACGAAATTAAATATTTTTATTGTTTTTATTTATATTATTTTGAAGTGCGATTATGGAAATTGAAATAATCAACGTGTGCTTTGACTGCTTCTAGGATCCAGAAAAAAAAACGAAACTAAAAAAAAAACCTAAAAAAAGGAAGGGAAGTATTATTTTGAAATTCACCTGGTCTCCAGCACCGATTTCTTCTTCGTTTTTGTTTATGTGTACTCCAGCTGCAATATTGGGAGACTGTTGGTCCAGAGCTAGCAAAACGTTGCACGTCTTGTAGTCAAACCCTGTATTAAAAAAGCCCCATTGTTAGATATTGTTTTCCCAAAACATACTTTTTGTGTATCAGGTACAGTTTTCTTAATTTGAGTTAAGATTTGAATGGTATAAACAACTTTAAATGTAAAATGTCATTTACAATAAAAAAAAACATGCGCAGTAGCATCGCCAAAAGGGCCTAAGTCTATATCTCCGTTATTATTGGTTCAATTTGAACGGGACAAACGGCCTTCAGTTTAAAATGTATGTAGTTTTAATGACAAAAGGACCCAAGCTTATACCTCCATTATTATTGGTTCAAATTATAAAAATGGAGTGAAACAATGTTATAACCTTAGCCTACTTTTGTTTAGAAAAGTAGTAGACAGAATTTTTAAAAAGACAAGAAACAGTAATAATATATCGCAAGAGACAGGATACTTAGAATAATGGCTATGGATTTAAAGTATACAATCAAGAAATTATGAAATTGATGTTAAAGGATAAATTATTATCTTTATCCTTGGTCCTATGGAGTGAAACAAGGATAGAACCTAATCCTACTTTTATTTAGAAAATTAGAAGATGGAATATTAAAAAAAGAAAAGAAACAAACACAGCAACAATAAATTGCAAGAGACAGAGACTTTTTGACTGTGGATGTAAAGTACATAATGAATTATTAAATATAATACTTTATTCTTTGACATTAAATTGGCGTTTAATACAGAAAAATATTTGACGTTTCGTATCACTTCCCTAACCATCATTAGTGAGAATTTGGTTAAACATTTCGAATTTCAAATTATTATAAAATTTTGGCTTCTGTGTTGTTTCTGCGCAGCATGAATCATTTTTACGGCTTTGTTGTTGTCCTTATTGTTTTGCTGAATCTGACATTCGACCAGTTATCGGCTCGTGTATGTCTGAATGGAATATTGTTATATTAAATGAACTATTTAGGTAGATATGCATTTTTTAAACTATGTGCTAGGATGAAGGTCATAGTCAATTTACAAATTTTATTATAATAATTAAGATAACGATTACCATTGAGGAGTCGGTCTAATAGATAATTTTTATGACGGATATGGTCATCAAAATTGACGTATTAATATCAAGAAATTGGATCGTGTTGAAAATTTTATAACAGGAAAATTACTGACGTTTTTTATTTTTTTCTCATTAATGAGGTGATTAGGGAGCTTATGAAGAGCAAAAAGGGATCAATCATATCAAATAGTGTGCATTTATTCTTCTTTAAAATTTTATTACAGAAAAATTATTGATATTTTAATTTTTTCTTCATAACTTTTTTTTTATTAATGGAACTTATTAAAAGCAAAAAGAAGTCAATCAAATTGCTAATGTGCATTCATTCATATTTTCTGATTTTTTTGTAGTAAACGAGGAAATCATAAAGACAATGCCACAAAATGAATCGGTGAGTGAAAGAACAATACAAGTGCCAAAAATGGCAATTTTAACTGAGATAGGCAAATTGTTTAAAATTCATAGGCCTATCATAGAGCGAAAGAATAATATACCGACCAACATCGTACGAGCGATGGGAGCTAGTTCAATTTTCGGCTGAGTGAAAGAACAATACACGTGCGGCGCATGTACTGTTTTTTACTCAGTCGCCATGTCGTTTCGTAGACAAATTTGACTGATTTCAAAAACTGGTGGTAACAATTTCATAAAAAAACGACCAAATAGTTGATGAACAAAAAGCTAAATTTGTCATTTCACACTAGTGAAACTCCTGGGTATGTTACTACAAGTGCCTTTATAGGTGGTTTTTTCTCGCACACTTTTAAACTGATCAAACCTCATGCCAACTCGCAGTTACCCTTATGGTGGGCATACACTCTACGATCTACCGCAGAGGTCTGCCTGTGCACGTGTGCCTGCACGGGTAGACCGCAGCATGTATTGGAATCGACCTGTGTAGTGTTTTGAACCTGCACAGGCGTCCGGAGCAAAATCGAAAATCAATTCTTTTTAGTGACATCGTACGGTGAACCTGCACAGGCACACCTGCACAGGTAGACCGTTGCGTGAATGCCCGCCATTAGAAAAGGCATACTTAGAAGTTACCCCTATTAACGTAAAGAAGATAGCAAATTTAAAGACACTTTCATCTTACTTTAGTGATTAAATCCTAGAGTTTCACTACCATATTATTTCTTGTAAAGTCAAAAATAAGGATTCTGAACAAAAATTACAAATAAGTTTGTTAAATGATAATCAATAAAGCTATAAAAAAATTTATAGTATTTTTTTTTTTAATTGAGTGAAAGAACAGTATAACTGCAAGTCATTTTTTTCAAATATCATTTTTTGCATAATTTTCTTTTTAAATTTATCTACGTAATATTATCGGTTAACAAAAATTCTATAACTTCACAATACATAATTAGGCCGAATAACCCATAGTTTTCCTTTAAAACAGTTTTTTCTGTTTTTCTCAAAATGGTAATTTTGGATATATACTGTTCTTTCACTCACCGATTCAAATATACTATATAAATATACCAGACCGAAAACAAATGCTCCCGTGGCTAATACCTCGACGGGCATTTAATTAAATTACAAGAAGGCAGCAGATATAGAAAATCATTTTAAACATTCGGGTTTATTTTGGGGACTTTACTAAAGGAGAACGTTATTCTTGTACCGTCTTTTTAGGACTCATGAACAAAACATAGACTTTCTTGATTCCAATTATTTCTAATGGAAGAATTCAAAAAGTAGTGCCATTGACAATGCAATCAAAGCTAGAGTGTCTTTATAATGTGTACATGTCAAGGTGTAAGCCAGAGGAATATTTTCGTTTTCTTATATTTTATGCCAGTCTTTTGAGATTTCTTCATTGTTTACATTTTGATAAAATTTTTACCTTTATACGGTTTATTATTTTGTGCATTGCCGAAATATATCTAGTGTTATTTTGTTGCAACAGTATTAGACAAAATAAAAATAAGAACGTCTTACCTTAAAATCACCTGAAAATTATAATATGCATGCACAAATTTAATAAAGCAAAGCGAAGCTATGCAGCAGAAGAAAACCAAAAAGCAAGAGCCCAAGAAAAGCATAGCTGCAGAATAAGTAAATTCCCGAAAATAAAGCGATGATTCCAACCCAAGTTTTTTTTAATTTCAATTGTTCTGTACCTGATCCCCTGCCCCGACTTCTATTTCCTCTCTATTTTCATGGACGCCGTCTGCAATATTCGGTGATTGTTGCTCGAGCGCCACCAGTAGATTCAACGTCCGCCAGTCGAAGCCTAATACAACCAATTTAGAAACGTGTTTTTAGTGATTACAATTATTAAATCGCGCAGCATCATTTATAACGGTCAGAACTTATAGTGGTGCGCGAGCAGAGCTTTGAGGTACTTCCCAATAATAATTTTTGAAACTTGGTGTCGTTTACGACAATCGGAAGTAGTAAGAGGCCGAGAACATAGCTCTGTGGTAAGCTGGAAGTGCTTTTGTTGCTTAACGTCTTTGTTTCGTAAGTTAGTGTAGTGTAGGAAGTCAGAGAGAGAAAACCTATAATAAACGGAAAAATTGGGGCTGTTGCTACAGCAGGCACTAAAGATTGTCGAATGATGGTGCTTAAAAATGTTAATTAAAGAAATATATACAGGGTGCACCAATAAAAACTCCCAGGCCGGATATTTTGGTAAGTAATAGATATTTCAATTCTGTAGAAGCCAGTTCATAGAGTGCTATGAGAGCTTCAGTTTTAGATATTAATTAATTTTAAATAGGTCAATATGTAGATGGCGCTGCGCTTAATATATTTTTTTCGATGGGAGGATCTTTCTAATATAACGCATCTTGTAAAAAATGCATTTTTAAGCAGATTTTGTTTTATGAACTAATTCAATAAATCTAGCCATTTTTGATATACAGAGTAGGTCGCTCAAAACAGTTTCATCCTGTTTTTCTAAAACTGAAGCTCTCTTAGCGCTCTATGAACTGGTTTTTACAGAATTAAAATATCTCTATTACTTACCAAAATATCCGGCCTGGGAGTTTTTATTGGTACACCCTGTATACATCGATGCTTCTACAGTTGTTGAAATATGATTTAGTATCAATACTTTTATGCGAACACAGCCTTGGTTATTTTAGTTATATTTAGTTTTTGTTGATTGGGTACTACTGTACGTCAGAATATTGACTAATGTCAAAATACGTGTTTCCGGTTACTAATTGTAAGACAATGGTCGTTGTTGGTTGTTATATTTGTTGTAAACCATACATAGTTTAAATAAAGAAAATCAAAGGTTAATTGGAGTATTATTTAAATAATAAAGTATATAAATTAACAGCAGCCATATAGAAAAAACAGTAGGAAGAGCTGTAAGAGCGCTATGGCTTACAGACGGATAATAGGGAACATATAGGGGCTTAAACCAAGCATAATACTATCTGTATACTAGGCTTGTAGTAACCTAGAACTCCACTCATCAGTCATAATAGCTTTGTTCGGCTTACTTTTGAGGACGGTTTAAAATCATTATAATCATGCGCATTTAAATTTACGTGTTCGGGTTTCTCCAAATCTAGTCCTAGGACACTCTAGAATTGACTGTTTCGTGTGTACTTTAGTGCGCAACTAATTTCACGCAGTTCTGAATCGTTCTGAAACGTTATGAACAGAGCTAGTATGGTGGCAAAAGGATAAAAGCGTAACAGCAAGTAAAATGTTACATATAGTATCACGATTGTCTGTCTAATAATAACAGAGGCCTTTAGAAGTACGCCCATCGCTATTGCTAGGTTTTCATTCAATACAGCTTGAGGTTGAAAAAATGCTATAGCGGCGTCATACAGGCTGTTCAGAAATGGTTTTGGATGGCATACAATGATATTTGAAACCATACATTATTTGATTTTTTTTTTAATTCCGGTGTTAACAATGCCATCAGACAGAATATCTATTATTTCTCCATTTTTTGCAAGGAACGTCACTATATGATTGGACATTTACTACTCTCCTTGCATAAAAACAAATATTATCTTCCAAAGGTCAATTGAATCGAAGAGATCATTATTTTTTATCGTATAAAAGCTTTGAAATTTAGGCGAGAAACAATAATCGAACATGGAAAAAATCGACTGTACGTAGACAAACTAAAAATTGATAACGTTATCGATTTTTGAAGTACCTTTGACCTAATTATACAGAACCGTTTCGTTAACAAAAAAAAAAAAAAAAATTGATAAACTCGTGTAAGGATAGATAAAAAATATGTAGACAAGCTAAAAAACCACGACGCGTAATAACGATCAATGATAACGTATTATTTTGATATCGCAAAAACATAAAAAGGATGCCATAAATTTTTTTAATTGCAATTAAGTATTTTTTTTAAACATGATATGATAGTACTTTTGAAAATAATAACTATAAATAAATAATGAAGAAAAAAAGAAAATCTTAAAGGGGTCTATTCTGTAACAATTCCTTTATATTTAACGGCCTTTAAAAATATTTTCTTCTTTACTTCTGTCATTATTTAAACGGATCTTTAAAATACATTAGAGTACTATCTTAAAGAAATCTGTTTAAATAATGATAGAAGTAAATTAACGAATACGAAACTATTTTTAAAGGCCGCCAATATTTTTAAAGGACGTTAAATATAAAGGAATTGTTACAGAATAGACCCCAAAGACCGTTCTTTTTTCCTTCATTATTTACTTTTAATTTGGTCATGTATGAAAAATAAACGTATAATTTTGATATCGCAAAAACATAAAGTTATAATAACTAAGGATGCCATAAATTTTTTTAATTGCAAGCAAGATTTTTTTTAAACTTATATGATAATAATTTTGAAAATAATAACTAAAAAAAAATTCTGTCAATTATTTCATAAATAATGAAGGAAAAAGGAACGGTAAGGAACGGTCTTTGAAATTTTCTTTTTTTCCTTCATTATTTATTTTTAATGTGGTCATGTATACAGGTACATAAAAATACATAGATGAAAAACTTTTTATTTCATATACTCATGGACAGTGATGGATTTACGTCTAGGGCGGCATAATTTGAACGGCTGCAAAATTTTTGAAACGCCAAAATTTTAGACTGGAAAAACTCAAAAGCACGAATCGAAGCTCATGAAAATTCTAGTTTTCACAAAATTAATGTTAGTCATTTTAAACCTCTAGCAGTAGTTTACGGGCCTGTTGAACAACGTCTAATAAAAGAGCTGGATGAAGAAATTTCGAGGAAATTCAGAACGAATAGGATATCCCCATAATGGGAATTTTTTAGGAACAGTAGAGCATCTTGCTGAATTTGATCAATTTTTATCTGAACACTTAAAATTGTATGCGCATCCTGGTAGTGGAAATACGTCGTATTTGTCTAAAACAATCTATGAAGAAATTATATTGTTGATTCAGAATAAAGTACTACAACAAACTTCCAGTGAAGTGCAATTTGCTAAGTATTTTGGTATAATTGTAGATTCTACGCCTGATATTGCACATGTCGATCAGCTTACTATAATTATCAGATATGTACGTGATAATGGTGAAATTGTTAAAGGTTTGTAGAATTTTTACCAAGTATCGGCCATAAAGTTAAAGATATTGAGGATGCTTTGTTAAAATCTCTAGAAAATAATGGTTTGGACATAATGAACTGTCGTGGTCAATCTTATGATAATGCAAGCAATATGTCAGGTATACATTCAGGCCTTCAGAAACCAATCAAAACAATTAATCTTTTAGCAGATTACTTCCTTGTGCCGCCCATTTATTAAATTTGGTAGGATCATGTGCACTTCTTTTCTACTTTGCAAGAACTATACAATTTCTTTACTATATCTACACATCAAATCAAATATCAAATATATTACGTACCAGATTACAAGTTTTTTTTTTATCCATGGAGGGGATCGTACCTAGGCATATATGCCTGTCTTGTGTGATCCCTTCCATAAAAAAAATACAATAATAAATTGTTTTAAAAGTACAAAAAAAATTAAAAAGAAAAACGACTCAGTAATAGGAGTAATAGGAAACTAAAGCAAGACAGGTCCAAAAAGTGAGATAGGTTTAAAACTTTCTCCTGTAGTATAGTTAAACAGAAGTTAACGCTAAAAAATTGTAAAAAATACTTGAAAAGACACCAGAAATAATGTACGTTATTTGCAGTTTTATTTAAAATATTTAAAACATATCTGGGGAAGTTTGGATCAATTCCTTGATTTCAGTTTTAAATTTAGTTAATTTAGTTATTTGTTTCGTTGATAAACGGAGAAGATTAAACAATTTGGGGCCAAAATAAAAGAAAGATCTTTGTGTTACCGTTTTTTGAAATAGGTCTACATTCAAATTTAAATTTGTAGTTGCTCTGGTTTTTGTTGAAACCTTGTGTAGTTTATCCTGATCTCTGTATACCCTTTGAAGACACTGTTATGTATATTGTCACGAATTGCATTTAAAAATAATTAGATTTTTATTAAAGATAAAATAAAGTACTTTCCAAAAATATATTTCAACTCAAATTTTATTAAATCCATTTCCAAAAATATAATTTTATTTCAATCTTTTTAATTTCCATTCAATTCCAATTTGTGTTTAATATTACATTTAAAGTTATTTAAAACAATAACAATCTTTTCGTCTAGTACTTAAAAACTTTATTTTATGTTGAAAATAAACAATGAACTCAATTCGGTTATGCTGATTCTACAATTTCAAAACAATGTTGGGGTCAGCTAGCCAAATTGACAAAACAAAAAATAACAACATTTTTGGCACAACCGAGGCTATAAGTTCTTCGGCTGTGACGAAAATCGGCAGTAGGTGATACTCTGCTGTATTACAGTAATAAAAATAAAAATAAAAAATAAAGTCGTGACATTCCAACTTGCTGTTAAAATATGTGGTAAGGTTATCTTATAAATCTAATATAAAATAAAATAAAAGCTCAAAAGGTATTTCTGAGAAAAGTAACCAGTTAATTCTTCAAATTCTTTGTAGTGTATATATATTGTATATTTGGGGGTGTATTATAACATTGAGGATTTCTGGGTAGTTTAGGGGATTTTAGTTTGTGTTCATTAAAGATTTGTAGTTTTTTATTTGTGACTTTTATTCCTTCCTCAGTAGCGTAAAGCCAAGCCAAACAGTATATCATAAGAAAGGTTCTCCAGTGAGTATTTTCGGGTGGCGCAAAGATCTTCCTCGACTGGAAGATCATTTGGGCGATTCGAAATACGCAGTGGCGTACCCCACGATTAATTGGTTTGCC